TGGTTCAGAGTTCTGGGACCATCCTCTGAGCCTGCTTGGTCGGGTATTCTGTGTTGTTGTTGGCGGTGCTCTCTGCTATACGTTCACCCGATCCGCCATCTTGTTTGTTCTCCTCAGATCTCTTTCTTAAGGCTGCATCATGGAAGTTCAACCCCTGCAGTTTTATTAACTTAACAGATTCTAGAAAAGTATTTTTCTGGACCAAGACTTTAAATTATTTTATGAGACTATCTTACATTTAATTTTGCCTTTCCATTTTGTTTTATAATGGGTACTGTTTTGTACTACCATCCTGGTGTGGTGCTGCTATAGGATTAGCATTGAATTGTGAATCACAAGATTGGTAGTTCAAACTCACCAGATGCTCCTCAGAAACCCTGTACAGGGTTGCTATGAGTCAGAACTGACTCGATGGCACCTAACAACAATTATGCTTAAAATAAGTAAGGATAATATTGTTGTAGTGGATTTTTAATTTTCCCTATAGATAATTTAAGAAGATTGATAATTTTAATCTTTTTAACTTTAACTTAGCAGTAAAATCTTACTGTAATCAAATTGTTGTTCAAGAAAAAACTGTTTAAGTTTTAATAAAAATTTTATAAGAATCTGCCTTCTTCTGATTTATTAACTTTTTCTAGGGCTCACACATCTCATCGGATCACCGTTTCTTCGGGCATATATGCATGGGTTTTTTATGGATATAAGACTCTATCACAAGGTAAGTACAAAGCTACAGTTTTACGGATTGTTGAATAAGCACTGACGTAGCTATGGACTGCTAACTGCAAGGTCAGCAGTTTAAATCTACCAGTTGCTATGTGGAAGAAAGACTAGGTGTCAGGACCCATAAAGATTTACAGCCTCAGAAACACTATCCAGGGTCGTTTTGAGTTGGAATTGACTCTGTGGTAGTGGGCTTGGTTTGGGAAACAATCGATAGCCATTTCTTTGTTATTTACATGCATTTTCATAATGTGTACATGATTTTTAAGAGGTTTGCTTATTCTTTGACATAACAGTCATGATGTGTGTGAAATATGTTGCTAAATAGGATTGTTTATTTTACTTTTGAAAAGGTGAAACTGATGGTAAATCCATTTGCTTATGAAGAATATAGGAAAGATAAAATTCGACAGAAGATAGAAGAAACACGTGCACAGAGAGTTCAGTTAAAGGTAAGTATTGGGCTCAGCATTAAATTTACCAGAGGAAAGTATTTACTTTTTATTTTGCGTATTGTACCAAAGGAATCAGCCATCTTTTTCTTAGTTGTTCATCCAAACCTCAATTTCCAACTCTGACTAATACTGTGGCATATTTGGAGTCCTGGTGTGGCGCTGTGGGTTAATGTGCTGAACTGCCAAGTCATTTGAACTACAAGGTCGATGGTTCAAGCTCACCAGCTGCTCCTCAGAAACCCTATACTTAGGATCGCTATGGGTCAGAAATGACTAGACAACACTTTAACAACAACAACATGGTATATTTATAACCCTGGTGTGGGGCTGTAGGATAAGCACTGGACTGCTAACTGCAAGGTCAGCATTTCAAACACAACAGCTACTCTCAGAAACACTATATGGGTTCACTGAATTGGAACTGACTTAACTGCACATGACAACATCAACAATGGTGTTATTTTATTTTGTATAAGGGTGAATACTCTAGTTTTATCATTACAAAGTTTATGTTGTTGTGGGGATTTGTGCCAGACTGAGAAATATTGTTAGTTCTACTAAGAAAATCTGATTGTGTTTTCAGTTTTTGGAGAGCTGAGGTTTTGCTGATACCCATTTCTTCCTGACATTTGACAGTATCATAGACTATCTATTTGAATTGTGAGAAAAGGTCATTAGATATAAGGCTTTAGTCAGGAAACAAAAACCACATGAGTTGTTTTAATAGAGAGAATTCAACGTAAAGAATTGTTAACCGGGTACTGGAGAACTGAAAAGGCAAAAACACTAAGGTAACGTCAAGAAGCAGATACTGATCAAGATCTGGGGAATAAGAGGAAGGCTTCGAGGACATGTGCTGGGTCCTTGGGACTTATTGAGGCTGTTCCTGGGAATGTTGCACAACTGCTAAGTAGAATCAGCTACTGTTGCTGGAACTACCTGTAGCTACCAGGCAAAAGAACTGCTGCATAAAGCCGACACAAACAGCAATCAAACTGAAAAGACAAGTCTTGACTCCCTTCTGGTTTCTCTCTAGTACCTCCTATTGATTATATTTAATCACCAAATGATACAAATATTTATAATTGAATGTTGGGGGGAAGTTTATATGTATACTATTATTTCTGTACAGAAAATTGGTGGCTGTTTTCTGAAATTACCTTAATATGTTTCCCTTTTTCTAATTTCTTTGTTAACATTTTAAAAGAGTGATGAGTATGTGTGTATGTTGGCAAGGGGAGTCTGAGATAAGGTATTTTTGTGCCAGCCATTAATAGTATTGTCAGAATTGTAGTTAAAATTTTTGGAAATTTGCCATCTGGGGAACAGGAAATAGGACTGCTGATCCCCAAGTAGCATTTTAGCAGTTTCCCACAACACCAGTTATGGCTGCGATACCTGGTGTACTGGCCTCTTGCTAATCAGTTGTGAGTCATAGGCCTTTATTTCTCATATGTAAGCTGCCAAATGCAACTTCTCCAAGTTTGCTAGAGAAATATGTGGAGTAGGGCAATCCTTATAGCACCAAGCTGATAATGATATTTCTAAAACATTTGACCCACCTCAATCCATTACTTGTGGAGACTTCCCGCAAGATGGCGGACTAGGAAAATATGTACAGACACCCTCTACAACAAAGACAGAAAGGCCTAATGAAATAGACATGGAGGAAATGAAATAGACATCCTGAAACACTGAGTATCAGAGGAAAGGTTAGAGAAGTGGATTGGATACTGCCTGGGAGAAGCTAAGCAGGAGTGATGAAAGAAGACGTGAACAAGCTGCCATTCAGACATGGTGCAGCCATCTTGAACCATTGTGAACAAATTTGGAGAGAGACAGAAGGCAGCTTGATGGTACAGATTCACATGGGTGACATAAAAGTCTCTCTTTATTTTTCATCTCTCTAATTGTTTTTAGTGTTTATTTATTGATTTTGTCTTCCTTTTATTTTCTCTAATTTTTCTCTTATACAGCTCTGTTTTCCTGTCCCTCTTTTTTCTTTTCAGTTATTATATTGTTTTTTCTTCTTGCTGCCCATTTTGTTTCTTGTTTTCTCCTTTATCATACTCTCTTTTCACTTTTGTTTGCTTGCTTATTCCATTTTGTTTTCCTATGTGTGTTTTCTTCCCTTGCCCCAATAGATGGGAGTCAGTTACCGTGCCCATACAGCTCAATCGTAACCATACCCTCTGGAGCTGCTCCCACTGAAAAAGAGTCATCACCAGCTGTTGTGCCATCTAATCCACGATAGACATCAGCCAAAATGTGCCCTAAACTTAGCTGCAGTAATGGTGAACAGAAAACAGAGCACACACTTCCATTCTCTAATCACATGCAGCAGGAGACAGTTGATAAAAACCTAATAACAGACCAACATACAACAGACAATTTTAGTTCACATGAAAAAATAAGACAGTGGCTCACTCAATAGCTAAGATACAGAGACAGAAAACATTTCTTAGGAAGAAAAGATAATGGAACTACCTAAGAAAGAATTCAAAAGAATGATACGAGGATGAGTCCAGAATTATTCTATAGTCTAGATTCACTCTGGCTATAGAATGTACTTCCATCAATTTTTAGAATAGACAAATACATCATTTTTCTATATAATCTCCTTGCTTTTCAATACACTTTGTCCATGTGGCAACAAGCCTTTGTGTTCCCTTATTTATAAATGTTCTAGGCTGAGCTGCAAGTCATGAATGCACACTTGTCTTCACTTTTTTATCATAGATGAATCGCCCTACTTGAAGGGCTGCTTTCAGGGGACCAAATAGGTGGAAGTCCAATGGGATAAGATCAGGACTATAGGGAATATGCTTTAACACTTCAAAACAAAGCTTTTGCAGAGTGTCAACAGTGGGCAAAGGTGTGGGGACATGCTTTGTAATGCAAGATCAAAAGACCCTTGAATAGCAGTCCTCTGCATTTAATCCCAAGTTTAGGCTTCAGCCCTTCAGTGAGCATCTCATTGTAATGAGCACTGTTGATTCTTGAGCCCTTTTTCCTGATAGTGTTCCAGTACTGGCCCTTGAGAATCCCAGAAAACTGTAAGTATTAGTTTTCCAACTAATGGTTGGTTTTTGAAGTTCTTCTTGGTTGGCGATTGAGGCTGTATCTCTTGCATACTCTGCCATATACTCTCAGGCTTGTAATAATGAATCTATGTCTCATCACCAGTAGCGATTTTTTTTTTTTTTTTTAAAGACACTTTGCCCTTCCTTCAAAAATTATTTGCAGATGTCCAAGTTCTTCTGTTTATGCTCTTCTTATGTGAGCTGTTTCGGTACCCATCTTGCACAAACTTTTCGAAACCAAAGTCTCTCATGGATTATTTCATAGACGAAGCCATGGCTGATTTGCTAATGATTTGCCACATAATCCACTGTCACTCTCGCCAGAGTTAGTTCACATGTATGCTCAATGTGGACATGGATGGCCATTTTAATATAACTGGAGTATGGATAATTTTTCAGTAACCTCATATTTAGCTATCTTCAATGGATTGACAGAAAGACTGAGTAGAGCAAGAACATATGAAAAACTTTACAACAGTTTAGAAAAAACTACAAGAACAGTCTAAATAAATGCAAAATTTGAAACATTACAAAATCTGTAATTAGAAATCCAGAAGATTAGTGCTAAAAATCTCAGAAATGGACTATACACTGAATAAAAAGCTCAGAGAAAATTGTCCAGAAGTTCTGGAAAAAAATTTTCCTAACATCATGAAAGAGAAAAAGATAACCATTTAAAAAGCAGAATGAACCCCAAATAAGATAGACCCCAAAAGAAAATCACCAAGACATATTACCAAATTTTCCAAAACCAAACACAAGGAAAGAATTCTGAGACTAGTTTAGAAAAAACTAGAAGTTACCTGAAAAGGTGAATCAATAAGATTAAACTGTGATTTCTCAACAGAAACCATGCAGTCAGGAAAGCAGTGGGATGACAGATACAGAACACTGAAAGAAAACAATTGCCAACTAAGAGCCCTATACCTAACAAACCTGCCCCTCAAATATGATAGTGAAATTAGGACACTTCCAGATAAACAAAAATTAAAGAAATTTATAATAACAAGACCAACTTCACAAAAAATTCTAAAGGGTGTTCTTTGGACTGAGAACTAAGAAGAACAGATGACAACCTGAGATTAACATATGTGACACCACCACCCAGAACTCAATTCAGATAGTGTTGTGATTAGGTGCCATCCAGTCGGCTCCTACTCATAAGGACACTCTGTACAGCAGAACAGAAGACTGCCTGTACAGTCTAGATACAGACGTATTTAAAGAGAGAATCAGAGATATCACTTTATAATAAAGTCAACTTCAAAGGAAAAAGAGGAAATAGTATAGATACAGAACTCCCAAATGGCAAGGAAGTCAAGTAGATTTCAAGATAAAACAGATTATTTTTAATGTGGGAAAAATTAATAATTACAAGGTAACTTCAAAGAAAATTAACACACCTTCACATCAAAATAAATAAAAGGGAAATCGTAAAGATTTCATAAACATGAACACAACATAAATGAAAATGAAAAGAAAACCCACAAACAAAATGAATCAGTGAAGTACTTTATGTGGACCACAAAGAAACTAGCAAAAATACACAGAAAAATGATGTCTACACAGTTGACTACTACGCAGCGTTGAAGAATAATGATGAATCTGGGTGATACCTCATAACATGGATGAACCTGGAAGGCATTATGCTGAGGGAAATTAGTCAATGTTGTCAAAAATTAAGAAAAAGTTTTCTTGCTAAAACCCTTTATGATGTTTACCAGGGGTAGGAGGAAAAGAAAAATTATTCACTGAATAGAAGGTAGACATATGTTAACTTGAGTCATGGGGAAGGCAGTATACAACAGGAGGGAGGTTGGTACAGGAAAGATGAAGATAGTGAAAAACACAGGAAGAAAGTGCAAGAGTTAAACTGAGTAGAGATGTAAATACTCTTAACTGGTGGTACATGGAAGGAATTGCAGTCATTTTAAACTATTGATTGTTGGGCTGATGATCTGTTCTTTAAACCTTCACTCAGTTCACAATAAAAAAAAAAAAAAAAAAAAAAAAAGAGTTTGGTTTTAATTTGTACAGTCATACTCCTTGTATAATAACTATGAACCTTTAAAGTGATGACATGGATATCTTAGCACAACTTTTTTTTATTCCCTAACTAGAAATTGCCAAAAGTTAACAAAGAGCTGGCACTTAAATTAATTGAGGAAGAAGAGGAGAAGCAGAAATCTATGTGGAAAAAGAAAGTTAAGGTAAGATTTTATGAAACAGAAAATATTGATGGATTGTTTCTAAATTTTCTTGATAATAACTTGTATGTTTTCAGTTGTGTGGCTATGGTAACTCAGTGGTTGAATTCAAACCTTCTGTGCAGGAACCTGAGATTGATTTCTAGTTGACGCACCTCATTGGCAACCACCGCTGTCTGTCACTGTGGTTTGTGTTGTGATGCTAAAACCTATTCCAATTTTCAGCAGAGCTTTCAGACTAAAATAGACTAGACAGAAAGACCTGGAAGATTGCAATGGTCTAATCCACACTTCATGAGGATGGCTCAGGATCAGCAGCATTTCATTCTGTTGTACATGGAATCATCATGAGTTGAAGGTCATCATGAGTCACTGGCCAACTTGGTGGCAGCTAACAAAAAGTCTTTATTACGTTTCTTTGCACTTTAAATTTTTCCTCCTTCCTGTAAGGTATCAAAAGTTCAGTACTGAAAGTGTAGAAAACCCATGATTCTTCTTTCCAGAAAAAAGCATGTTAATATTTTAATGAATTTCCTTCCTATTTTATTTCTCTGAAAATTACAAACTATACATCATATTGTATATATACAATGTTTTTCCCAGTTCAGTAAATTAACATACGAAGTTTCCTATTTGTGCCCATTCCAAAGAAAGGTGACCCAACCAAATGTTCAAATCATCAAACAATATCACATACAAGTAAAATTTTACTGAAGGTAGTTTAAAAATGTTTGCAGCAGTACATCGCGGGGAACTACCAGAAATTCAAGCTGGATTCAGAAGAAGATCTGGCATGAGGGATATCATTCCTGATGCCAGATGGATCTTGGCAGAAAGCAGAGTATGCCAGAATGATGTTTACTTGTGCTTTATTGGCTATGCACAGGCATTTGGTCCTGTGGATCATTAACAAGCTATGGATAACATTGCAAAGAATGGAAAGGCCAGAACACTTAATTGTGCTCATCTGGAATCTGTACATAGACCAAGAGGTTGTCATTCAAGCAAAACAAGGGGTTACTGAATGATTTAAAACCAGGAAAGGGGTGTACCAGGGTTATATTCTTTCAGTCTGTATGCTGAACAAATGATCCCAGAAGCTAGATTCTGTGAAGAAGAATGTGGCATCAGGACTGGAGAAGAGTCATTAACAATCTTCAGTATAAAGATAACACAATGTTGCTTTATGAAAGTAAAGAGGACTCGAAATATTTACTGATGAATATCAAAGATTACAGCCTTCTGTATGGATTGCACCTCAATGTAAAAAAAATGAAAATCCTCACAACTAGAGCAATAAATAACATCATGATAAATGGCGGAAAGATTGAAGGTTTCAAAGACTTCATTTTTGCTTGGATCCACAGTAATTGCTTATGGAAGCAACAGTCAAGAAATCACACGACATATGAATTGGGTAATCTGCTGCAAAAGACCTCTTTAAAATGGTTAGTAACTATGTCACTTTTATTGCTAAGGTGTGACTGACCCAACCTATGGTATTTTCAGTTGCCTCAAATACATTTGAAAGGTGAATAATGAATACGGAAGACTGGAGAAGAATCTATGTATTTGAATTGTGTTTATGAAGAATATTGAAGTAGACTACCAGAAGAATAAGCAAATATATCTTAGAAGAAGTATAGCCAGAATACTTCTTAGGAGCAGTGATGGAGCAATTTCATCTCTCGTACTTTGGACATACTGTGAAGAGGGATCAGTTCCTGTGGAAGGACATTATGCTTGCAAGAGTGCAAGGTCAGCAAAAAAGAGACAGAGTGATGCAGTGGCAGCAATAATGGTCTCAAACATAATAGTTGTGAGGATGACACAGGTTTTCATCTGTTTAAATTAGGAAGGCATATAACCAAGCTTGGTTATTTACTAGAATGAACTGTAAAAATTGGGTATTTTGGCAAGAGCTTGAGGACTGAGCATAGTTGGCTGTTGAGTCAGCTCCAACTCTTGCCAACCTCGTATATAACAGAACAAAATGTAGCCCAGTCCTGCACCATCCTCATGATCTTTGATATGCTAGTTTCATAATTTGGGGGAATTCCTTAAGCTTCAATGAGTCACCGAGTTTTTTCATCTATAAAATGCAACCTAAGGACCAGTTAGTTCCTAAGGGCAGTTTTTGTACCATGATTTCTAAGTGGATTCAAGCTCAATACTTCCTCCTTTTATTCTGTTTCCTTATCATCTCTTCAATCCATCACCCTGTTCTTTTATTGTATTATTTAAAGACCATTGGAAACCATTCTTTGATAAATGACTTTTTTAAAGTTTTTATTGTGAATTGTTTGATAGTTTACATGAGAGAACGTCAGTTTTACACCATCATTTCATTGCAGTGATTACAATCTACATGCATCATCATTCAACAATATTTGCTTCTATTCTGTTTTTTTTTTTGTTGTTGTTGTTGTTTTTGGGGTGTTGTATACAAAAACACTTAGGAATATATAATAATTTAAACAACCGAAGGGCACATTCTTTAAGCATGCCTCCTGGCCGCCAGCACTCAGTTTCTTTCTCTTTCCATGAGTCTAGAGTCCTCACATGCTCTCTCTCTTTGTCCTCATCTCTGCCTCCATCTCTGATGTCGCTGCTTCTCTGTATCAGGTCTCACATTCTGCTCGTGCTCTTCTCCGTTGATGGTCCTAGGGTCCTCTGTTTCTGGACTGTAAGACTAACTACTCCCCCGTTTTTGTTATAAAACTTCTACATTTACAGTTGTGACAATCTCAATTAAACATGATAACAATTACTCACTACTGAAGCCTAAGAATCTTATCCCCAGCTCTTTTAACCAGACCCATCTAAACAAGATGAAAACTATTCAATGGAGACTCTGTCTTTCCCCACACATTCTTAAACTAAACTCCCTCTTGAAACCTTGTAAGTCAGTCACTTCATGCCTGTGTTGCCCCCTCATTTTAGGTATCAGTGTCTAAGTTGCCTGTCCCTATCAACCTTGTGTACAGAGGGGATACCACTGATACTTGATGTGAAGACTCCTTCCCTCTCTGTTCATATTTTGACCTACTACATCCATAAGTATAGGTCAAGTTCATCAAATGGTAACAATTTACACTTGTTTCGTTTATCAAAAATTATTTTTTTTTTATCTTCCTCTAGTTGAGTTCTAATTATCAAGCCATCGAGGCTAGGTCAAATGGGTACTATGTGCAAGTTTGGGCATTCTTGTGTGTTTCCCCTCAATTCATATCAGCTGGATGCTTCACTCTCAACTCTAGCCCTCCGTAGCTATGTCCTTATCCATGTGCTCAGGAGTGATAGATAAATGACTTTTATATTTCCATTAACAGTGCTTAAACTTATTTAAACACATCTGTGTCTTATGGCTATGTGATTGAGAACATTTCTTCATATGTTAGTTGGCTGCCCGGATGTCCTCCTTGGTGAAGTCTCTTAACATGTCCTATGCCCATTTTTTAATTGGGTTGTCTTTTTCTTGTAGAGGTGTTGTAGCTTCCTATATATTTTAGAAATGAGTCCCTTATCTGATGTGTTGTTGCAAAAGATTTTTTCCCATTCTGTGGGTTCCTTTTTTACTCTTTTGGTGAAGTCTTTTGATGCACATAAGTTTTAAATTTTTAGTATGTCCCACTCATCTATTTTGTCTATTTTTGTTTGTGCACTTTTCAAAATGTTTGGTAGTCTGTATATGCCCTGAATTAGTGCCCTCACATTTGTCCGTATTTTGTCATTGATGACCTTCATAATTTTGGGATTCACATTTAGCTTTTTAATCCATGCTGAGTTCATTTTTGTATAGGGCATGAGGCAAAGGTCTTGTTTCAGTCTTACACATATCACTTTCCAGTTCTGCCAGCACCATTTGTTACAGAGACTGTCTGCTTCCCATGCAATATGCCTAGGCACTTTGTCGAAAATTGTTTGGCTGTATGTGGTTGGGTTAATTTCTGGATTCTCAATTCTGTTCCATTGATCAATGTATCTTTTATCATACCAGTACCAGACTGTTTTGACCACTGTAGCCATGTAGTAAATTTTGAAATCGGGGCGTGAGAGACCTCCAACCTTGTTCTTCTTTTTAAGCAGTGCTTTGCTTATCCTGGGTCTTTTTCCTTTCCATATAAAATTAGTAATTGTCATTTCCATCTGTTTGAAGAATGTTGTTGGAATCTGGATTGGGATTGCATTGTATGTGTAAATTGCTTTGGGCAGTACTGCCATTTTCACGATGTTGAGTCTTCCTATCTAGGAACATGGTATGTTTTTCCAGTTTCGTAGGTCTCTTTTGGTTTCTTGTAGTAGTATTTTGAATTTTCTTTGTATAAGTCCTTTGTTTCTCTGGTTATGTTTATTCCTAAATATTTCATCCTTTGTGCAGCTCTTGTAAATGGTATTGCTTTCCTAATGTCCTTTTCAGCACTATCATTCTTGCTATAGAGAAATCCAACTGATTTTTGTATGTTAATCTTATACTCTGACACTTTGCTGAATCTTTCGATGAGGTCTTGTACTTTTTTAACTGAGTCTTTGCCAATTTGAATGCCTTTAACTTCTCTATTTTGGCGTATAGCTCTGGCTAAAACTTCCAGCACAATATTGAATAGGAGTGGTGATAAAGGGCATCCTTGTCTGGTTTCTGTTCTCAGAGGGAAGGCTTTCAGTTTCTCTCTATTGAAAGCGATGTAGGCTGTTGGTTTTGTGTATATGCTCTTGATTATGTTGAGGAATTTCCCTTCAATTCCTACTTTGTTGAGTGTTTTTGTCAGGCATGGATGTTGGATTTTGTCAAATGC